GGGGGTTCGTCAACACAAAACACATCCACAGCAAATATTGACTCCTCCAGCCGGTGCTCTGTGCACCCGCTCGCATCCGTGAACAAAACCGGCTCAAAACATAAGCTGGATACGAAATGTGTAACACCAAGAATACCGTGAAATCCACACAAGTCTTAGTGCTGTTTTGAGCCCCCCATCTCCTTGTGAAACACTTGCCACCGACAGCTGTAGACCCTGGCAGTCTGAGAACTTGAACCATATCTATCAATACTTGTTAAAAAAATAAAAATAAAAACAAAAAAAGATGATGCACAGACGAAGAAGAACAAAGACCAGACCATTTCCACAGCGGAAAGGTTACAGGTCCACATGGCAGAATTTCTGATGCGCTCAGAAACTCTATTGACGGAAAAGGAACATACTATTTTTCCAATACAGTAAACATCAAACATAGCTTGTTCTTATACCAAGGAGATACACATCCATTGTCACTTATGGCTAGAAGTTACTGAGCCGTTCCTCCTCATACATCTCTAAAGTAGCAATCCTATACAAATCTCAACTACTTCAGTCTAAATATTACTCTGGGCATTCTCTTTTTTAAAAACAGGGAGGGCATCATTCTTTCTACTGGCAAAACCACAACAAACCGAAAGAAAAACAATCAAGTTTGGATTTTAAAGTGTCTGGCAGTGGGTACCTGCATGCTCTGTCCTTCCCACCTAGGATGAGTTCTTGATTGACGTTACAATTGTGACTGCTGGAAGTCTGATACCCTACAGACTCCCCAGACTTGGTTACCCATGGAGACCAGATACAGCTTTCATCAAAGTTCCTATGTTATCATTTATGTGACGTTGTCATTTTGTTACTGCAGTATGTGATTCTGGTATATGTTATTATGAATCCATGATAAATTCTGGGAATAAGGGAAGAACAAGATGGTCAATATTTAGAAAACAGACAAGGTGAGAGGAAAGACAGCTTCACAGATAATTTCTAATGTGGCACTCCGTTTCTCTTATTCTTCTAGTCAGAGAAGACTTTTACAGAACTCTTTCACTACAACACCCTGGGGCAGAGGAAACGAAAACTCCCATTTACCTTTCAGCATCAAACTTTCCATGTACAACTAGGAAAAAAAAACCCAACGTATTAAGTCATCTATGAAATTAGGAAACTGTGAAAGTCATTCTGAATTCATGGCATAGTTCTAGAGTATTGTAGGTTTTCTTGTCACCCCAACTCCTAATTAATCAATCACCTTCAACAAAGCAAAAAAGCACTAGAACTGGACAGATTTTTCACTCCAGCCCATGAGCTAATTAATCCCACATGCAATTCAATTGAAATTAATAGAAAAAAGCACATTGTTCTTCTCCTGAACACAGCCTAGCCTGGTCTCCAAGTACCAAGACGATAAATATTGCGAACAATAACCACATTGGTAGGTGAGGCATTCTCAAGGAAGACTTACAAGAACTGCTCTGAATAATACAAAGACGAGCAGTAACGGAGACGCTGTTTCCAGCAGTCAGTAGAGGTGTTGCTGTTCTGGCATAACCAGTAAGAGAACATCGCAGAGCCGGGGATTTATCTTCCCTTACTGCAACACCAGCCTTAGGGTTAGAAAAATTCTCTCTAATAGAAGTGTGGAAAAAGACAATACAGTGCTCTATAGCACTGTCACTCACCCCTTGAAACCTGAAGGCTTTGAACTTTCATTCTAGTTTGATAGTATAAAAAA